GGACTAGCACCACGACGTGATCAATCTGGGCGGGTGTCATGGCTTTGACTTTGGGAGTCTGGATAGCAGTGGCGGTAGGCATTTTAAAGGTTGCGGAGGAGGGGTGTTCCTCCTGTATATGGTGAGCTGTTTCAATTGGTAACCCGAGGTAGTAGTAATAGTGTCAATACTAAGAAGTGCTGTTCTGCAGTCAGATATCGGGATGGAGAATAAAAAGAAAACCAGAGCATTATCTCAATGTTTATCAACAATTCCAGAACAGCGTGACTCCTTCATTAGATCACATCATTTAGGCGAGGATGATGCTACAGCTCTAGCTGTAACCTCTCAGCACAGTGCTGGACAGGGAGAAGAAAGACTTGTCCGCATCTCATTGCTTTGATGAGCATAATGGGTGAGTGCAGCACGATCGTTGTGCTGTTCTCGTTTTTCGCCCGAGAAAAAGACATGGCAACCTCATGTCGTGTTATGTGTATGTAGGTACTATGTATGTACATATGTACTCGCATTATTACCGGGAGATTCGTGCCTGACATTAGTACAAGCTGTCTAGCTATGCCGGAGATAGCTTGCAGTTGGCGGATAAGTGTTTAGAAGTCGGTGTTGCCATGATGTTCTATGGACGGGAGGCGTGACTAATAAAGACGGGGGGTATGCTATTCGGGGAGCAGGCGAAAAGTGTCATTGACGTTGACCACTACTGTTAGCGAAAAATCGCGCCTTAATCCCTACCTCTTTCGCGAAGGTCAGTTTAGCCTGCCTGTGTGGTGCTGCATGCACAAAGTCAACCCATGCGTACAGCATAAACTATCCGACTGGAACACACCGCTCGTTGTATTCACACATACACCCAATAAGCAGAGGAAGAAGCGGAGGGGGTGTCTTATTATAAAGATTGGCGACTCTAAACCCAGGCTGCTTCCCCGGCCGGAATTGAGCTAACGCAACACATGTTCGATTTGGAGTGGGGGAACCAACTTGATACCAGGAAATCCAAGATCCCTACCCCGTTGATCGTACCTACCTAAACTCCGAGGCTTTGGTACGATGAAGGATGGCGTGCTTGTGTCGGCAATCGCATCTTCATCTAACGCCCAAGAAAAAAGGAAACCTAGGTTTCAAAAGCTTCAGCGTCGAGAATAACGAAACATGGACCGTTATCCAGTGGCCTCCCTTCTAAGAGAAGAGCACAACAGAATTTTATGTGTCCTATACCCTGTTAAGCCAATTGTTATCAAATCTTGGTCATGCGAGTCTGAGGTAATCATGGGGGATTATGGTGCTCCTCCATCTGCGCTAATTGTGAAATAGGCAACGCCAATGCGAGAATAAGTTACCATGATGTGGCACATTAACCTCCATGCATAGTACGCCATAAGCCCAACCGGTGAACCTGAAACTGCCGGATCCAATCGGGGGGTACAGTCTTTATGCAGAGCGTGGAATTCGATGATGGTACTAGCGGTACATGTACTACTAGCGGTATATGTACTTTATATAATAAACCGCGGAGAAAGATTGCTTACCAACCCATAACCCGAGATCACAATGGAACTTAATAATTCCATGATTACAAGCCATTCTTTGTTAGAACAGTGATCTTTTTCTCTCTCTAAGCAGACAGTCATCCATTCTCACTCGTGGCACCATGGTAACCACCCACAAGGTTTGAGCTGGTTGAAGTAAATAAGCATAAGTTTGTCCGTTGATCTACGCCGCCGATCTTCCCAATAACGCCGGTATGTCTGTTATGGCTATTTGTAATCAATTGAAGATTAGTTCCTAGGATCCTACCTCGGTATATACCCGCACATCTCGGGAAAGTACCAGTTTATACATGCATATGGTGCATGAAGCAGGCTTCAAGTTCCATCCAATGAGACGAAATGTGTGGTTTTAGACGGCTTAGAAACCAGCAGGATGACGCGTTTTCTGCTGAGAAATACTATTCGGCGTTTCTTCGCCGAGTGGCATCGTTAAATAATTGAGCACACATCGATCGATTGACCCGGCGAAGGTGTATTGAATTACCGAAAAACAAGTGACATCAAGACTCCTGTGCAGTGAGCATTCCTTACAGTACTAATATACTTCAACTCTTGGGTATCGAGAATGCGGTAGCGCCGTGTAGGATGGAGGCCCTCTATTACCCTCATTGATTCCGGGTATATATGAAGGATAAGGCTGACCGGAGGAGAGTAATAAACATTGACCAACATATCTTAGGTCTTATGCTTAGGCGTCATGTCTTGATGATGATCTCGGATGGAGCTGAATGTTGGGCGTGGATCATGACAAACAAACCGAAAAGGTCAAAGGTGTTTGCAAGAGCAACATGTAGGCCAGTTAATAGGTTCATTCGAATGGCCGCTCTGCATAAAGCTTAAATGTCCACTTACACCGCTACCATTACCATTACTCATACCTAAGTCAGAACTGGGTTTAGATTCTATAAACCACGAGAGGTTTTCTTGTGCGACTTTATGATCCACCTGGACCCTGAAATCTACATCTAGACTGTGCATACATGTATCTAATATCCCTGACAACTCAGCACGATCCTCCAGGCCGGTATGGATCTCAATCCCATCCGTCGCACACCATCTTTTTTTGTAAAGTTGACATATATCTCGATATGGCAGTACGCAGCGGATTTACCACCTACATATATATCTTGGGAACTGGCCAATCAATGTGCCTTTGCCGTTGGAGCCGGTTTTTTCAGTGACCCTGATCGAAGATTTTAAGTAAGTACACGGGAGGGCCCGAGTGGGGGGGTATCCTAATTCGTAGCTCCCCCCCCCCCCCCGCCTTTACGCATGTACCTCTAACGAACTCATCGGTTCTTGTGCATACTCTAATTCTAGCGACTTCAGGATTTCGCTCTAACATGCAAAAATAACTTTCTCCTTGCTCCCAGCGGATTAATCTACCTTCAGTTGGCCATGGACGACTTGCCTAGACTCCCCCCCCCCCCTCCAAACAATTTTATACGTACACTAGCTAGCTTATCCAACGACGATGGCGCTAGCTAAGGAATAGGCCTTAGCCAATGGGAGAGGGCGCTAGTAGCGTGCCTAAATTCCATAACATATATAAACACATGTATCTATTTTAACAGAGAGAGCGGTAGGTCCGAAAACCTAACAGAGCACCTTTAAGCAGGTATATTTTCAATCCCTTCTACCCTTCCTTCTCCCTTTGACTTTTTTCTACTAAAATAGCATGAAGCAGGGTCTCTGGGAACATCAGCTAGCTATATATACCGCTCAAACCGCCACTAAGCACATGGGAATCTCCGTTTTCTAACAAAAAGAAATATTCTAAATTAGACTGATGCCGGCTTCGGTTTACTGTCTCAAATATCCCCTCCCCCTACATATCACTAGATCCTATACACGGATATGGTCCGCCCATCGCAACTGCCACTGGAATCATATGATACTACCAGGTACAATTAATTCCTTGCTCTGTTTATAATCGCAAGTACTGAAACACAACAGCTTTTCAGGGCCTCTCGGACTAAGGGTATAGTATTCAATTGTTGGGCAAAGCACTTCCATACCACGAAGGTTATTATCGAAATTCCTAATGCCATTCTAGTGGAGAAGTAAATGCATCCGGAAATACATCTGGTAATGAATCAGGAAATGAGTTAATTTAGTATGGGGAAACGCACAAGGAAACGCACCTGGGAATGAATCATGGAATAAATCAGGGAATGCATCCCGAGTGCAAATAGACGACTTTCCAGACGACTTTCTCTCCAAAAGTATAATATAAAAATTAGTACTTTTAGTAGGATTCGAACCCTAGGGCATCCATTGGCTGACTTTACTGACGACTTTCCAGTTGAAAATGTGTACGGAAATATGTGCGGAAATGCGAGGTAGGAAAATGCATCATGAAATGACAGGGAAAGGCATCACGGGATGCATTCCCACATAGCATCGTCAGTTAATGCATCTTTTGATGCATTTCCCTCAATTCTTTGTATGTGAAATAAATTTACTTCGCTAGTAGAGCCACAAATCGGTCTTATATAGCATTAATTTCAGTGATAAAGGACTCATATACCATTAATAGACCTAGGTCTTATGACATAGTCTACAAGTCTCGAATACTACAAGTACAGACTACAAGTACAGACTGCAAGCAGTATTACATCCAAGTGATCTCGTACTTGGACCGCTCTCACTCCCTATACATGCACATGCGGTTAATGACTTGTTGTCCCTATGACCTGCCAGCCCGCAAGTTGAACTTAGCCAATAACCCCCCCCCTTACGGTACTTAGACAAGGTGCCTAATCTTTCATACACCAGTCCTTGGCGGTTTTTTTGAAAGCATCGAAAGCTGAGATAGTTGCTTACGAGGGGGTATGGCAGACAATTTTCTGCAGAATATAAAGCCCCTACCTACATAGTAAAAGCAATAGCTCTGTTCGCTTATAGTGTGCGACGTTGACAGTTCAGGACCCTTTTCCTGCTACCCGAGTCGTGTTTCATCATGGTACGGAAGTCTTTGCCTTCAATTCTTTCAATGGCCGGGTGGGCCATACCCAAGGGTATTTCCACTGAAAATGGATAAATACTATGAAACACTCAAGAAGAGTTACGGGGAGGGGGGGCAAAGAATAAAAAAAATGACCGAGTGGGTCACGTGAATCATCGAGCCGATTAAACGAGTGATAATTGATGAAGTAAATAGGAGTTTTGCCCCGGAAGTTCAAGCGGGTCTGAGGGTTGAGCAAAGCAAAAGGTTAGTTGTATACTCTGCAGTCTCGATAGAGCATCTCTAAATAATGGTGATGACTACATGTAATTTAGTTCTTGGCCACAGATTTTGGTGTGAAAATTCCGCCAAGACCTCGAACAATTGACGCCAGGGCAAGCTTAAATCAGTTGGCAAAACACTATTTCAAAGGACTACTGACGAAAGAAGAAAAAGATAACCAACGGCCCCCACCGAGTTGGAATGGGCCGAAAGAGAGCTATAACTGGTTCCAGAGGGGGTCGAACCCTCGACCTTGGCGTTAACATGTTACCCCCGACGAGGTATGATATTAGCACCACGCGCTAACCAACTGAGCCATGGAACCGTGATCAATTTAATCAGACATACATTATCACTCGGATATACGGGCGATGCTTGACAACTGTGGAACTCATCGCACAAGGATTTACTTGATGACACATAGTTCAGGTCAGCTTTAAAATTATGCTTTCTAGACGAGGACACGCAGTACATTAGTGGAGCCCTATATAGGCGCGGTCGCTAGGCTTCTCAATTACTCCCTCCCACTCCCCTGTGACTTGGAAATCTTCTAACACTGACGGGAATAGAAAACAACATCGATATTCATTACTCCGTTTCTAAGACTGCCTCTATTACCGTATATAGTCGACCCCCGATATAAAAGTACTGTTGGGACTGGGGGTCCGTATCTTTGAGGCGAGCATCGCTATCCCTTCGTCTGTCGACAAAATGCTGCCCACCCAGATCTACTCACTCGTTAATTAAAAGGTCGGAAGTCATTGCAACCAAATCCCCACACAAAACTCCGAGTTTTTAATTAACGCGCGAGTAGTTATGTCTGTTATCAAATAAAAGATCTCCCATACAAATTTGATTCCTCTATTATAGGAGGGCAGAAATTGACAGACGATGGGATAAGAAGCAAGAATAGGTCGGTAAAAAGCATTTCTGGACAATAAACTGCTATCCTAATGAATTCAATGACGAGTGTGTCATTGTGGCGAGAATGTCATTATAACGAGAAAAGACAGATTCCGGAATAGTGTTTCAACAAGGCTTGCCGTTTGGGAACCACGAAATCAAGACAGTATTGGGTGCCGCAGCATTTGTAAATTCTCTCGGATCGAGTGATCATTCATGTGCGACTACAAAGTACCTTGAATCTCTGTTATGCAGGTCCCACCCATATTTCATTCAGATCTAGATTCTGGAGTATGTACCTTACTCTAGAAACTCAAGCTTCTCCACTCCCCGCTAACAGCACTCTACTACATGTAGTAACTACTCCAACCCAGGGGGCCAATGGGACCAGTGGGACCAATCATGGATACGAAATTCCAATCCACTCGCCGCTTATCTTGGTAGCCAGAGCCTCACCCCTCCACCCCTGGGGAACCTGAACAGACCCTTGTCCGAAGACAACAGCACAAGAAGAGCGATGACAACAAACATGGCATGATGCCGTGCGGCCCGAACCGGGATTATTCCCTCACGTCCTCACCTAGACCCGGTTTTGTTTTTCCAGTTACATATTTTTCTTTCTACCCGGCAGGAGTAGGGGATATATCGCGCAGCAGTTTCTACGCCATCTTCTTTTTTTGTTTTAACGGGAATCTCCCCAACGGCGAGAGGATGGAATAAATGGGGGGTCGGTCGGTGAGCTGTTAAATTATGGGACCGACAGACAGATAAGCGCTTATGGGGGGAGGGGTAGGGGGGTGACTACATCTACACAGCGATGCGCTCGTTTCATACTTATCCTTCACTCCCCACATCACGTCTCCAAGAGTATAGTCCACCAATCCCCATCTGGTCGAGCACGCACTGATGCTGTTAATCCCCCATATGTTTATCTGCCATTGCGAGTTTCACAGCCTGACGTAACTCATCATCCAGCCGATATCCATCTATCAGAAGCGAAAGGGATTTTTTTCTCTCTCGGCGTTGTTCCCGCAACCGCGTCTCATTCTTTTTCCTTTTCCTTTCCCCAGGCCAATCCGGAAATTTGAGTTTCAGCGGTCGTGGTATTCGCGCAAAATAGTAAGACGGCTTCCGCCATTGCCGGCATCCAGAGCAAGCAAGAGTAGAGTGAGTGAGAGAAAGAGGAAGAGGAGCATCAGGGTTAGGTTAGGCCGGATCGAAGCCGAATTCCGAGAATAGTAATCATTGCGATGGCAACGAACGCTGCCGCGGGGAAAGAAAAAACAAAGCAACCAGCGACTTACATACACGATAGGTGTTTGCAAGAAAGAAAAAAAGAAAGTGTTGAGGCCCTCGTGCTCACCATGAGAGGGGGAGACTGTTTCTTTTATGTTATCAAACAATAAGTTGCATGATGGGTAGTGAATATCGTATATATGTGCGAGTATTGCATGTATGTATGGTTAATTCGTCGGTGGGGGACTCAACTGGTGTTGCATGTTGGTTGCAGCTGTCATGGGCTCGCCAAGAGCTTCCCCAAAAGCTTAGCAGGCGCCTTCGCGCCGCATCGGTCACTTTTGTGTCTCATTACGGAAGTCTCGGCATTCATCATATGCCATCTCCACATTGTGGTCATGCTGCCTCATGCACTTGTCTCGAGAGCGACAAAGAACGCTGCTGCACAACACACACCATGGCTGGCTGACTGGCAATATTAATGGACGAAAAGTGCCAGAAGAGGGTCTATTCTATCATGGAGAATGTGGCTTTCCCCTCTCGCAGGTGCCCCCAATATCTCCCCATTCGTGAACTGCAATTTATCAGTAGATATCTGCCCCCCCCCCCCTCCCCCGGTGCCCATATCCATATCGGTGTAGATTGTGCCTAATGAAGCACACCGCGATTATCTAACGCAAATCTCCAAATATGCGGAGGCATTTTACAACCAACCAACCGGCCAGCAGTGGGCCCCCTCCCCGAAGCCGCTATGAACTCACAAAATGCCTCAGGGCTTGAAGCAGCAACAGACAAGGGAGGGGGGGAAAGGGTAGATGTTACATAGCTCTAGAGTATTTTGAGGAACCGCCGAGAATTTTTCCCTTCTTTATCCCCCTCTTGTCCTCCCCCTCTTGCTTCCCATTCCTCTTCCCTCTCACCCTGCCTTACTCAACTCAGCTCAATTCCTTCCATCTCCGCCAATTGCTGCCGTCGCGTGCCATTTATTTGCTGCATTCGATCGATTGAGTAGAGTCGCTGTTGATTGCTCTCCTCCTCCTCCTCCTCCTCCTCTTCGTCAATCACCTACAAACCTCAAGCGTTTATCGAAGAAAGACAAACACGATTGTGGACAATTTGTCAAGTCGAGGTGTGTATCCCAAGTGCTTGGATCTACATTACCTCATAGCTCCCCGAGCAGCAGTCCACTGAGACACCACCTGTCCTCCACTCCACTCACACAACCGAGCTCCCCACCCAACTCCCACCTGCCTTATCACCCCCCTCCCCCGCCTTCTCCTCTTCTTTCTTATCCACCCACTAACAAGCATTTTCTCACTTCTTTAGAAGAAAACACGACATCCTACCTACCTCCAAACCAAACAAACCAAAAAATCAACAAGCAAAGATGCCTGCACTCGAAGCCCACTACTCCGCCCTCATGAAGCGCGGCACCAACTGGCCATCCAAGAACCGAGGTGTCATGGTCGTGTTCTGCATCATTGCCGTACTCGTCCTCATGGTCATTGCCCTCATGCTGCACAAGAAGCTCACCGCGCGAAAGAAGAGACAAGCCGAGGCGGACTTCCAGGCTGGGAAATAGACAATGGTGTGGTGTGTGGTGTGTGGTGCGTGATGTGTGATGTGATGTATGGTGGGACGGCGGGTTGGTTCCTTGTAAGATTTTTTTGATGTGGATTATCGTTTTCTTTCTTTTTTTTTGTCCTTTTTCCTTTGTGGTTTCTTTTCTTTTTTCATGTCGCTATGGGGGGACGATGATGGATGCGTGCTTCAACGGGAATATGTAATGAGGAGGCGAGTGGAGGGTAGAGGGGGGGGAGGGGGGAGGGTGCATGGTGCGGCACAGCGAACGAACGAACCAACGAACGAATGGGCGTATCGTATCGTGCGAGGGTGGTATGATGGGATGGAATGGAGAGAGCCAATTGGGAGGAGGGGATGCGTTAATTCATCCAATCCAATACAAAGCCAGAAAACTACATACTACATAGGCGAGCCAGTCGGGTCCACGGACGCATTTTTTCTTCTTTTCGGAGACCGAGGGGGTTGGTGGGCTGGCGGTGCTGTTGCTGTCTGGTAGATGGATATTATTTTCAACCCGATAATAATTTTTATAAAACAAAAAAACTCTATTCCATTCCCATAACGTTCGGGTGTCTCCTCCTGCTTGTGATTTGTTTGCTTGTCTGTTCGGTGGACGGATGGGTGGGTGAGTTGATTGCGTGGTGTTGACTTGATTCCTTTCATCAATTCCTCTCCGACCCCGACAGGATACTAACAGTCGCCCCGCCTCTAGCTCCGTCATGCATCCCCTAGCTCTCTCCGTCCTCTAACATCCATCCGTCATCTTCCCCCCTACCCCTCCATCATCCTCTCGTCTTCCAGCTTCCTCGACATCACCACCTCCGTATCTATCTGCCACCTCTCTTCCCCATCTCCCTATCAGCCCACGCGATAAGCCACCCACCACCACGTTGTGTCGCAATCGCCTTGGCCACGCGCACTAACCGCAAGCTAGGAAGGCGCAACTGTCACCCATCGCCAAGTATGTACGGGGAAAGGGAAGCGAGGGGGACCATCGTTTAGGCGAGATCGATCGTGCGTCCGTGACATTCCTTGGCTGGCTTGGGGGGGTGTGCATTGGCACACTTGGGGCCAAGAAAAAAAAATTGCGGACGGATAAACGGGGGGGGACATGCGCTGGGGGGGGGGGGGGGGGCGCAATTTGTTCACGGGCGCGCGCGGTGGTGTGCGGTGGTGGAGCGGTTGTCTTGTCTTGTCGTGATGGAGGGAGAGGGCTGCTCTGCGGTTTTTTCTTTCTTCTCTTCTTTTTTTTTCGGTGGGGTTGTTGATGGTGGGGTTGTTGTTGGTGGTGGTAGAAAAAAAAAACATCAGGACGTACAGCCTCAGCGTCCAATGCCATGCGCAGGCAGCGCGCAGTCACCACAGGAGTGAAGGCAGATGGCAGATTCAGTCTGGTGGCGGTCAGGGATGGGATTTGAGGCCAGTGGCAGAGTTGAGTTTGAGACGCCCATTAGCCAGGATGCGCCGTCGCTCGGTGGACGGCTGTACTAGCTAGCGGTGTGCAGATTCGTCGCGTATTGCGAGAGATGTCGCGTTTGGCGACTCTTTGAAGAGTTGTTTGGCGGAGGGTATGGTTTCCTCCGGCAGCTTGGAAGCGTTGGT